GACAGAATCCAGGACCCGTTACTGACAACGGCGACATCAATAGAGGAACGAACGAGGTTAATCGCCATGGCACAGGCGAACCCCGACCCGATCGTCTACGCGAGGGCGTTCGTGCCGCTCGCCCTTGCCAGCTCCCTCAAGGGGGAAACCCTCGTGACGCTGTTCCGGATCGGGATTACATACCATCGCCCCGCGGAGCTTCCAGACACCACCAACCTCGACTGGAAGGAGGCAGTCATCTGGTGTCTGGAGAGCCTCTGATCCCGATCCGGGACTCCTCCGCCGGCTGTTCAGTCGCGGCTTTCTCCAGCCTGCCGGCCACTCCAAAGTCAAGCCAGTCGGTCGTGGCTCACTCCCGCCCAAAGCTCGCTCCAGTGTCGGCTCTAGCCCCCGAGTTCGCTCCAGTGCCCGCTCCTCGAAAGCACCTTGCTGTGCCTGCTCCTCTAGAGCGCCCTCCAGTGCCAGCACCTCGTAAGCGCTTCCCAGATCCCCCGTTTAACCCAGGGAGGGCTCCTGATTCCTCGTTTAGCCCAGGGAGGGCTCCCGTTCCTGAGTATAGCCCGCGGAGGGCTCCTGTCCCCGAGTTTAGCCCAGTGAGGGTCCCTGTCCCCGAGTTTAGCACAGTGAGGGCTCCTGTCCCCGTGCTTAGCCCAAGGAGGGCTCCAGTCTCTGAATCTCCTCCAGAGCGCCCTCAAGTGCCCGCTCCTCCAGAGCACCCTCCAAAATTCCTAGTTTTCCCCAAGAAAATTTTGGGAGGAGGGGGGAATATACCCGTGGCCGAGCCAGCTAAGGCCACGGAGGATCCTCCATGGCCTCCTGAGTCTCCTGATCCGCCATGGCCTCCTGAGCTCCCTGCTCCGCCATGGCTTCCTGAACTGTCTGCTCCGCCATGGCTTCCTGATCCGCCCTGGCGGCTCTCCTTGTCTCCACCCTGTTCCAGTCCTGCACCAGCCTCCAGAGCGCCCGCCCCCCCTCCCTGATGGTTCTGTTCCGTCCAGGAGGGGGGTGATCTGTCACGTGTACGTTTCTGTTTAGTTCCTGCTTGCCCCTATTTGGTTAATTTCCTGCTCATTTAGTTAATCATCATTCATTAGTTTCCACCTGTGTTGTATTAATCATCTCGTTTGCTCCTTAGTTGCCTGCCCTTTATAAGCCCTCAGTTTCTGTCATTCCTTGGTCCTGGATTAATGTTATTTTTCAATGGTTTATGTGGTTGATGCTCATTAAAAATACTCCTTTACTCCTACTCCTTCGTCGTGCACTCACTACAACCACAACCCCGTGACAATTACCTCTTTTACTGTACTTATGATCAAATAATAACAGCCTGTCTGTCTGTCTATCTATCCCAAACTTTTGACCAGTAGTTTATATATTGTGCATAGTTTTTGCATGTTTATTGTGTGTTTTTTTTATTATGCATAAAAATATTTGTGGGCCATTGTACTCCTACTTACAATAATTACATAATTGCATAATTATTTGCGAGTTTTAATTGCAAAACAACAAAGAAAGTCACAAATTATATAATTTCATTCAAGTCAAGTCACCTTTATTTATATAGCGCTTTTAACAATACAGATTGTGTCAAAGCAGCTTTACAGTATTAAATAGGAAAATAGTGTGTCAATAATGCAAAATGACAATAGTAAACACTCAATTTTCAGTTAAAGGCAGTTCATCATTGAATTCAGTGATGTCTTCATTCAGCTCAGTTCAGTTTAAATAGTATCTGTGCAATCAAGTCGACGATATCACTGGAAATGAAGTGTCCCCAACTAAGCAAGCCAGAGGCAACAGCAGCAAGGAACCAAAACTCCATCTGTGACAGAATGGAGAAAGAAGTCCATTCCTCTGGTGGAGTGGGCCCTCACACCTAGGCCTGAGGCGTAAGCCAAGGCTATAGCATCCACTATCCAGTGAGACAGTCTCTGCTTCGTAACCGGCAGCCCTTTAGAACGGACTCCGAAGCACACAAAGAGCTACTCTGAATGTCTAAACAGGCCAGAGCGCTCAACATACACTCTAAGAGCCCATTGGGGAGCGCTAGAAGGGTGATGACTTGTACTCTAAATGGTGTGGAGAGCACTTTCGGCACATAGCTGTGTCTCGGTTTGAGGACGACTCTACAGTCGTTAGGCCCAAACTCAAGACAGGAAGCACTGACTGACAGTGCTTACAGGTCACCCACTCGCTTGATCAACACTAAAGCCAAAGGGAGGGTGGTCTTAAACGACAGAGGCCGCAAGTCGGCCGACTGGAGCAGCTTAAAGGGAGGGCCCCGTAGGGCCTTGAGGACTAAAGATAAGTCAAGTCACCTTTATTTGTATAGCTCCATCGGTGACAGAATGGAGAAAAAACCTTGGGAGAAACCAGGCTCAGTTGGGGGGCAAGTTTTCCTCTGGCCAGACGAAACCAGCAGTTCAATTCCAGGCTGCAGCAAAGTCACATTGAGCAGAGGACTCAACTGGTTCCTGTGGTCTTGTCCCGGTGGCCGTCTAGGAGACAAGGTCTTTACCTGGGGATCTGTCTCTGGGGCTCATCTAGTTGTTCTGGTCTCCACTGACATTCAGGGCTGTCGAGGTCATCTCTAGGTGCTGATCCACCATCTGGGCTGGATACGGACTGGATCCAGGTGACTGCAGTGACCATCTGATCTGGATACAGACTGAATCTGATGGCTACGGTGACCTCGGAATAAGAAAGAAACAGACTAATACAGTATCTTTATAGTTATCATACTTAGTGTGAACAGGCCTTAACAAGACATTTATGTGTGTACACACCTGTTGTGAATCCATAGAAATAATTGGTGAGAACTGACCACATTAATGCGCAAAGTTTACAAAATTCTTACTGAACTTGAAATTGTTGAAAGTACAGTATATCTCTGCCCACTAATTTTATAACATGTTCAAAATGACCCCTAAGTGTATTTACGGTCGTCTTGCTGTGAATCTAGACCTAAATATGGTTTGACTGTAATCTTATACCTGTCTTAAGAGGCAGAAATAAGTGTGACATATTGGTAAGGCCCAGGTTTTCAGGTTCCCTTTCAGTGTTCATCCAAACCTACCTAGTTTGTCCTCCTACACTCTTTGTTCACTGTAATGTGCATGAGCTCTGAAGCATTTAAGCAACACATTAGCGCTGATTGTTTGTGTCTCGTGTTCCGCATCTGCCAAATCCCAGAGCTGCTCTGGGCCTATTTATACAAAGATGAGCTAAGCCTGCAGATCATGAGGCTCAGCACAGCAGCTTACCATGAGACCACCATATCAGACAGCAAAGGCTCAGAATGCTTAAGTGCTCACTACAGACGTTATTAATGGGTCTGCTTCATTCATAAAAGATTTGTGTATGTTTTTAGTCTTTCACATAAGGATCAAGTTCTCATATTCGTGTAACATGTTTTATAGGGACCATATTAGATTTGTTTTATATTTATTCTTAGTGAACAATATTATACAAAATATGTAATTGTGCTATTTTATTTTATTTTTTTTTGCATTTTAGTAAATTTTTTCTGTCATCTAACACTCAAATAAAGTTAATCTGAGCACTTAAACACTGTACACTCATTAACACTGTTAAAGGTAATGTTTTTAAATATAATCTCATGAATGTTATAAATGAATGTTATATTATAATGTTGAAGGTCTAAATTCACTAGGATTGTAAATGATTGGTTTTAGTGTTTTGTTTTTTATTTATTTGGTCAAAATAGCATAACATTTTACTATTTATCATTCATCAGCCATAAAATGAAAAGAATAATTGTTTTATAGGTACTGAGCAGCTATTTACTTTTTGTGCATCTTTAAGAATATTAATACAGCAAAAGTAAAGTGCTTATATACTGATGTTGTGAAATGCAAAAAATAAAAAAATATATATATAAAATTGTATTTATTTATTTGCATGTATTTATTTGCATTTGTTAGCATTTCACAACATAAGTAGGCCTATATAAGCACTTTATATATAATAAATATATATAATATAATATAATAAAATATATATTTGTTGTGAATTTTGAAAAAATATTGTGTGGAATGTGTTCCTTTAACATTCATTTCATAAATAAATTCCAGCAACAAACTTGAGATTATACTTAAAGTATAACTTGATTATATCTGGCTATATCTGCTTATCCTGCCCCATTATTACTTTATGGTCCGATTCGGTCTACTCTGAAACACTAAAATGTGACCAACTATTAAAATCATTGTCAATGTGATCTCTGTAAATTAAATAACTTAATCTCTGGATATGACACATCATATGGGCCATAAGTAGTAAGTACTGTATTACTGACCATATAGCCACAAAGTCACAAAGGCTTTAATACTAGCCATATACAGCCATCTTCTTTCTTCCTAGATGTGTTTTAGAGACTATAAACACCTGGAGTTTTAAAGGCCTCTGTGCCCTTACAAAGGATAGACTGGCCCCATTTCCTCTGTGCAGGGGATTGTAGGACAGAACGTACCAGCAAAAAAACACGAATTCTCCGAAACCCACTGTTTAGGAGGGTAGAAGATAAATCGTGAGGTTTGAGTTTGGACAAAAGTGCTGTTACAGAAGAAGGGAAAAACACTAGGACACAGTGAAATATGAAGGCGAGAGAGAGAGAGATGGAGAACAAATGATGGAGAAAATGAAGCTGGAGAGAGAGAGGAGAAGGGAGCGCAGGATATGGCTACATCATGTCAGTCAATGGAGGGAACAGCTGTTATACATAACAGGTGGAGAGTGTTTGGAAGCGGGTGTGTTTATTACTGTATTTACATGCTGTGCTATGAACGTACCAGCCCTTGTGTGTGTTTGTGTCTCACTAATCAGTGTGTTATCATTCAACATGTTTGCACGTCTCACTATGAATAGGTATTTATTAGACCCCATTGTCACCACATTGTCACCATCTGGCTCTGTTCATACTCTCACTTTGTATTCCTTCTGTTTTTTCTTCCTTTTTCACAACCTGCTCTGGCTCACAGGAAGACCAAGTTGTGCTCCAGTGCACCGCGACTGTTCTGAAGGAGCAGATCAAACTATGCCTTTCCTGTGAAGGCTTTGGGAACCGTCTGTGCTTTCTAGAGACAACGTCAAATGCCCAGGTATAGTCATCAAAAAGTGTCAGGGTGTTGATATTCTGGGCAGGAAAGCCACTCCTCATTACAAATACCTGGAGTAAAACCTATTTCAGTGTATGTTTTTTTTTTTAGCTAGATCACATTTATTTTATTAATAATAATTAGCTATATATTAATATATAAAATAGCTATATAACAGTTATTTTTGTAAGGCAAATAATACTTTAATGTTACATTTTGTATGCAGGATAGTTTATTAGTATTTTTATATTACTCATTACAGTTATCCATTTTACCAAACATATGTTTTGGCTGTATCACACCAGCTGTCAGACAAATAATTACTAAAATTGTAAAATATTGGTATATTTTGCATATATATTTACATTTGTATATATTTTTACTCAAATTATTACATTTTTATTGTATATTTTAAATCATCTTAAAGTATTTTTACTTAAATATGGCATTTTATATACAATATGTTATTTTATTAATATTTCAATATTCCTCATTACAATATCCAGTAAACCAGATTATTTTACTATATCACAACAGTTATTTTTGTCAGGCAAATAATACTCAATGCTAAAAAAAGTAGAATAATGCTAACTTTTGTATATATTTTTATTTACTTTTGTATATAGATAGATAGATAGATAGATAAACTTCTATATATTTTTAATAAAAGTATAAAATGTATTAAATTATTATTGTACTGTTTTGTATTGTTTTGTTATTGTGTCTCACTAATCAGTGTGTTATCATTCAACATGTTCACACGTCTCACTATGAATAGGTATTTATTAGACCCCATTGTCACCACATTTTCACCATCTGGCTCTGTTCATACTCTCACTTTGTATTCCTTCTGTTTTTTCTTCCTTTTTCACAACCTGCTCTGGCTCACAGGAAGACCAAGTTGTGCTCCAGTGCACCGCGACTGTTCTGAAGGAGCAGATCAAACTATGCCTTTCCTGTGAAGGCTTTGGGAACCGTCTGTGCTTTCTAGAGACAACGTCAAATGCCCAGGTATAGTCATCAAAAAGTGTCAGGGTGTTGATATTCTGGGCAGGAAAGCCACTCCTCATTACAAATACCTGGAGTAAAACCTATTTCAGTGTATGTTTTTTTTTTTAGCTAGATCACATTTATTTTATTAATAATAATTAGCTATATATTAATATATAAAATAGCTATATAACAGTTATTTTTGTAAGGCAAATAATACTTTAATGTTACATTTTGTATGCAGGATAGTTTATTAGTATTTTTATATTACTCATTACAGTTATCCATTTTACCAAACATATGTTTTGGCTGTATCACACCAGCTGTCAGACAAATAATTACTAAAATTGTAAAATATTGGTATATTTTGCATATATATTTACATTTGTATATATTTTTACTCAAATTATTACATTTTTATTGTATATTTTAAATCATCTTAAAGTATTTTTACTTAAATATGGCATTTTATATACAATATGTTATTTTATTAATATTTCAATATTCCTCATTACAATATCCAGTAAACCAGATTATTTTACTATATCACAACAGTTATTTTTGTCAGGCAAATAATACTCAATGCTAAAAAAAGTAGAATAATGCTAACTTTTGTATATATTTTTATTTACTTTTGTATATAGATAGATAGATAGATAGATAAACTTCTATATATTTTTAATAAAAGTATAAAATGTATTAAATTATTATTGTACTGTTTTGTATTGTTTTGTTACTTTGTACAGACATAAATTGTACATGCTTGTAGACAAAGAAAATGTGCTGTGCTGCTTATATTTACACGCACCGGTGAAAGCACACACAAAAATTTATTTATTTTAGTGTATAAAATGCAGCAGTTAACATTTTTCATCACTAAACATTATTTCCGGGATCCCATGAGTCTGTAAGATTATGATGCCAGTGTAACAACCTTGTTTTTTTTTTTTAATCCATTAATTATGCATGAGTCCAAACATTGGTGTGTTTCTTCGTCTTGGTCTGCAGAATGTGCCGCCTGATCTGGCAATCTGTGCCTTTGTACTGGAGCAGTCGCTGTCAGTACGAGCCCTGCAGGAGATGCTGGCCAACACTGTGGAGATGAACGAGGTGAGAGTCTCCATGAAGGAGAGAGAGAGAGAGAGAGAGAGAGAAGGATGGAGAGGTGGAGAGCAGGGAGCAATTCGAAAAGCAGAGGGTCAAAAAGAAAAGGAATGATGAACAAAGAATATTACATCCTTTTACAATTTACAAATACATACAATAAGATGTAGCCTGTAGAGCTAATAAAGAAAACTTACAGTAAAAATGTGGTTTTAAAAAGAAAACGTGAGAAAGTAGTGATATAACATTAAAATTGTATAAATCGCTAATTTTTCTAAAGAAACATTGTCCATCAGCGACACTAGCAGATTCGCGTCTCACTCGCCTCCCCTGAGCCCATTGAGTTTTAACAGACGCCCAAAAGCGTGCAGTGAGTTTGGTGGGGGGTAATTGAGAATGAATGGCGGAAAGTCACACGAGAGGAGGCAATGCTTCCATCGCAATATGATTGGATATGACTGGTTATTATCGGCTGTGATTGGTTCATGCGTTAAATCCTGCCTCTTGTGTTTGTGCGAGTTCCATGTTCGTGAATCAGTCTGAACGAACAATATAATGGCGTTAATGCAAAGACTTATTTAAAAAAGTAAGCAAACAACTCACACACTTAGACATAACCTTGTTATGTCAAAATAAGACTTAAAATGGCATGAAAACATGATCTGGGGGAGTTTTTAGTGAGTAATCAGCTTGGTGAAATTAAAGTAAATCTCTGTGTCTGTGACCAATTTCACTGAGCTTTGACGTCTGATGATCTGAAAAATTCAAAAATAGTTAAAAGTTAATTTGATTTAAAAAAAAACCAAACTTTAAGGACTTTGACTCCTCATTTCAGAACATTACCGCACACCACTGATTGATAGATTTTTTTATGGTATTGTCAGACTTTTTGGACCCCATTTTATATCCATTTTCTATTTAATATGTGATCCTGAACCACACAACCAGTCATAAGGGTAAATGTTTTTAAACTGAGATTTATACATCACCTGAAAGCTGAATAAATAAGATTTCCATCGATGTATAGTTTGTTATGATATGACCATATTTGGCCGGGATACAACTATTTGAAAATCTGCAATCTGAGGGTACAAAAAATTAAAATATTGAGAAAATCGCCTTTAAAGTTGTCCAAATGAAGTTCTTAGCAATGCATATTACTAATCAAAAATTACGTTTTGATATATTTATGGAAGAAAATTTACAAAATATCTTAATGGAACATGATCTTTACTTAATATCCTAATGATTTTTGGCATAAAAGAAAAATCTATAATTTTGACCCATACAATGTATTGTTGGCTATTTGCTACTTAAGACTGGTTTTGTAGTCCAGGGTCACATATTTGTTCCAACAGTATTTTTTTGCTGCTCTTAATTTTAATCCTTCTCTGTTATGTTATATTTGGGTGCATGGGGTCATCTAAAAGCCAGTTTATTAGAGGTATATTCTGGTGTTGGAGGGTAGATTTGTTAGTGTAACTTAATTTCCTGTACTTTTTGTCTCTCTCCTGACCCTTCGTCTCCCTTTCCTGCCAACTTTAGGCAGTCGATTTGGATAAATGGGTATGTCATGTCTCATCGTAACCTCAGCACCCTTCCTCTCCTCTGTACCTAAGTCTCCTACTCAGTGTCCGGTGTGGATGAAATAATGCTGTAGCTCTTCTTCACCCCTAAACCTTTACTTCTGTCTGACCTTTGACCGCTGTCACCTGTTCCTCATTTTGTTTGGTTTGGTTGGAGTTGGAATCCCATTTGCTCTCCAAATGGCATTTCAAATGACACCTCATCCGTGTGTATAAGTGTATACATTTGTAAGAAGTAGAGAGAGAAAGAGAGAGAGAGCATTCCTGTGTGTAAAATGAGCTCAGTGCCACTGAATCCTGGATAAGGATATGATCCTCAGCGTGAAAGCTGATAAGCATGAAACCAGTGGGCCACACAGATATGTCCATGTTTCAAAGGGATAGTTCACCCAAAAATGAAAATTCTCTCATTAATTACTCTCCCTCATGTCATTCCAAATCCTTACTACGTTTCTGGGACTTGAACGTGGTAGTTCCGTCTCCATCTATGCAGGGTCAGAAAGCTCTCAGATTTGATCAAAAATATCTTAATTTGTGTTGCGAAGATGAACAAAGGTCTTACTGATTTGGAACGACATGAGTCGAGTGAGTAATTAATGACAGAATGTTCATTTTTGGGTGAACCCTTTAATAACATTTTCATTGAAATAACATATTTAATATGCTGTCAGACTGCTTTATTTATTTTTTTAAAGCTGCATTTGTTTTTACTCACCCTCTGTTTATACCTACATTACATGGTTTTGCATTTTTCAAAATCCTAAAATTTAAATTCACAAAGTATTACATATGCTTTGCCCCTGGCATGTTTATTTATTGAGTATTTTAGCTAATTTGATTATGTTTTCAGCTATCAAAAATAATTTAAATTACCAATTCATTCTACAGCATTCAACAGATTTTCCACAAACAAATAAACAAATAATAGCAAGCAGGTTCTATAGGCTTCAGATCCATAAAAAAATATCTCATACAAACTAATTTGGAGAGGCTAATCTGGAAAACAATCAGCCAAATTAAGAGTTGAAAAAAGAAAACGTTTTTTTTTTGTTTTGTTTTTTCACTACTAACCTCCACAGTAGTATAATCATTTATGCTAACATCAACCTTTTCATTTCATCTCATGATTGTGTGATTTTACTAAATGATACAAACCAGCTAAGAAAATGTCTAAAATCCTTTGATTTGTGGATTAAAGAATTTAACAGTACTTCATTTGCCTGAATTTTACCAATATTCTTCAATCATTTTTCAGAGCGTAATGATATTTTCAAATCATTACCCCACAGGTTCTGTGGTATTACTGTGACAGATCATAATAGCTAAGACATCAGCATACCATAAAGACCTCAAATAAACCTTGTAACCATTTCAGCATATGGAAAAATAAATTGGTAACATTTATGAAAAATATAGATTGTATTTAAAATTAGAAGTATTTTAGGTAGATTTTGATAAGATGCACCAAGTGCTTTCAAGTTTCCAGATGTTGCTCTTTCTGCATACTAAAGAGACAGTTGGGTAACTCGTCAAACAAGACACTATGGTAAAATAATTTCAAACAATCACATATTGATATATATTTATTTATTTTAAATATACATTTAATTTCATTATTGGATTTATTTATTTTTTATTTATTTAAATGGGTCATCGGATGCCCATTTTCCACAAGTTGATATGATTCTTTAGGGTCTTAATGAAAATTCTATAACATACTTTGGTTAAAATTTCTCAATGGTAGTGTAAAACAACACCCTTTTTACCTTGTCAAAATCAGCTGTTTTCAGCAAGACGTTTTAGTGCATGTTCCTTTAAATGATAATGAGCTCTGCTCACCCCGCCCCTCTCTTCCGTGGGGTGATGAGCCATGCTCATGATACCGTTTACTTTAGTCACGGAACTTGCTAACTAGCACGTTATTAGGAAAGGTGATTTGCAAAGATTCATAAAAGAACCTTATACTCGCTTCTTCTGTAGGTGAGGCTGGATCACAAATGATTCTCGCGAACATAAATGCATTTAGGTAGATCGGGGGCGCATTCCCTTCAAAAACAAAGGTAATCCACTGCGTCTTCAGCGGCTCAGATGTCGGGAGTAAATGATGACTGCTATGTTCATTATTGTCACGGTGCGTGTGGAGCCTCAATCGCTAAGGAGACATTCTTGTCTACATCTGCTCCAGAGTCGAAACAATGGCGGACTGATGAAAGCTCACTTGGGGCGGGTCTAAGATAAAACGCTACTGTCAATCAACAATTATGGTAGAGATGAAGCGAGGACTCAAGTGCAGGATGAATGGTTCGTTCTTTTAATAATAAAAGGAAACAAAAACAAAATAAAACAACCCAGAGGGGGAAAAACAGACAGGCAGGCTAGGAACTGCACTACATGCAGACATAACACACACAATGAAAAACGACGAATCAGCACAGGATTACAGACACCAGGAGAATAAATAGGAAACCAAATGAGGAGGCTAACGAGGGAGACACAGGTGGAGCAACTTACAGGCTAGGAACTGCACTACATGCAGACATAACACACACAATGAAAAACGACGAATCAGCACAGGATTACAGACACCAGGAGAATAAATAGGAAACCAAATGAGGAGGCTAGCGACGGAGACACAGGTGGAGCAACTAAAACAATAATGAGGTAACAAGATGGGCGGGGCAAGACAATAGACAGGAGAGAGCACATGGCACCAAACAAACACAACACAAGCCATGTGCTCACAGAAAACAGTGTCATCTGGTGGCCATCCTGGGCACACCCGCTGAAGACTGTGACAATTATTAAATCCAACAACAGAACACCTCAATCACTTAGGAGACATTCTTGTCTACTCCTGCTCTGGCGTCGAAACAATGGCGGACTGATGACAGCTCACTCAGGGCGGGTCAAGAGTAAAACACTAGTGTCAATCAACAATCATGGGAGGGGCCTGGGTACGTGTGACGTCACACAGACAGGCATCTGAGAATGGCTTGATATGAGAAAGGGGAACGAGATTTTTTTTAAAAACACTGGGTGGATCTTTAACATTATAGGGTGGTTGTGTGTACACACTGCCAACACACATTTCAGTTCAGACAACTTGTAAAAGTGCATGTCGCATCCGATGACCCCGATGAGGTATATTACATATACCTATGCAATTTATAGTCCTAAAACATAGGAATTAATATTTTCAAGACATTCAAGAACCTTCCTGTAGGTTATTACCATGGCAGTTTTAGTTTTAGTTAAATTAGGTTTATCTTTAACATTTTTGATTTTGCTTTTATTGAAAAGCTGACACATGGGCAGCTGAGAAGATGCCTGAGTCAGTGCTAATGTGCAAAGGCAAACGAGGAAGTAACATGCTGACCCACCCATTCTAGATGGACACAGCTGTTGTGGTGAATTCACCCAAAAATGACAGTTCTGGCATGATTTACCCCCATGTCGTTCCAAACCTATGACTTTCTTCTGTACATTATATATATATATATATATATATATATATA